ACATGAATTACCAAATACTTTCAATTTCTACATTTTCTTCCAATATAAATTTTAAATACCCTTCAATGTTAGTATCTTCAATTACTAATTGAAATTGCAGATACTAGTATCTTCAATTATCAAGTATTTCAAGTATTTTGAATACTTTTTATTGGAAATGTTCAATGCAAGTTTGGTAGCGTGAAATATTATCTCAGATAATTATTCCTAATAATTTCTGAACAATGGTTATTTTAATAATTAATTACAAAGGTATTTCAATTACTATCACCAGTATTTTGTTGTTTAAAATGTCCACAATGTAACTGATGAAATGAGATGAAAAGTCTGACAATGAGATCATTTTGAGTGGTTTGGTAGTGTTGTCCTGAACCGCAGATTTCTGGTGCCTGGTTGTTTTTCGTTGGGAAGAGGTACTTACGATAGTGACGAATGGAAGCGAGTGAGCCGAGCGAGCAGCTCCGCAAATAAATTCGAACACGACAGGATGACACGTTCCGAAAATAAGGATCGTTCGTGTCAGGGAATTCCACCATCGCATCCTCGGCTTTGAAATCGCTCGGAAGGATCTGGCACGCTTTCAAAACTGACGTTAATGCCCGTTTATTCTACATTCTACATCAACTTGGTCCACCGAAATGTTTTTCCAGGCCTATTTTAAAGCCTCGTCGATGCTTCTTCATCCCGTCGCAGAAAAGTCACCAGCCAGATTCGTCGAGATTGTTGGAAAATGGGTAAACAGGAAATGCAGCGACCGTGAGTATAGCACTTATGTGAATCTGCCTATCATTCTGCCATTCGAACAAAATATTTACTGTAATAACAGATTCCTTTTTATATGTATTACCAGACGTTTCATGTACTTCTTTTTCTTTTCTTTTTATAATTACAAGAAGAAGCTAGTAATAATTACTTTGTTTATTATGTTTAACTCTTTAGGCAGCAATTTTTTAAAAACATTATCAAAAATATTCTTTGATTATGTAGATATGTATGATTACATAGGTATTGCTGAATTTTAATAGTCTTTGATAAGAATATTAAAAAGAATACTATATTGCATATAAGTAAAAATAATAAGAATAATTACATTAAAGAAGAAAATAATATATTCATCTATATAATATAGCATAAAATAAAATAAAGTATGTATATTGTATATTGGTAATATATGTAATATGTATGTATGAACTACCAATGACCCAAAATGATTGGCCTCAGATTTTTATCTCTTAATTAGTTACACATTTTAAATAAAAAAATGTTGAAGATAATAATCGAAACATCTTTGAAGTTTATACTGAAAGAAAATGAAGAAATTGAAAGTATTTGGAAATTTATTTAATTGGTAATGCAATGCATATAAATGTGTATATTGTATGTTCATAAATTATACATATTTTATTTCATACTATATTCAATGTATTATTTTATTTTTTACAATTATATTTGTCTATAATATAATGAAGGGTTAATTCTGTGTTTTATTTGTGAATAAGACATAACTTTTCCACAAACAGCAAATGAAAATACATCTTCCAACATTTAAGATAGTCTCTGATGCAAAAGATTCTATAAATATAGAAATAGATCTATAATTTTTTTTTTGTTTCTATTGAATACGTGGAATTTAATATGGAAAAAGCAATTATTCTATTAACTTATTAATCAATCAATTAGTTCAGTCATGGGAGGCTCTATTGTATTACATAGTATATTATTCAATGAAATATTTATATGCATAAATTTAATAATGTAATATTATATTATGTAATATTCATTGTTATTGGTCATTAAATATTATTAACCAGTTATTAAATATTACTAGTTATTACTATTATCATCTAACAATGAAATATTAATATTATATTATATAATATTATTATTGTTACATTTATTATGAACATATGTTAAAATTCTCTGATAGAAAACTCCTGTTATAGTTATAATAGTGTTTCATATGAATCATATTAAATACTGATTATTCAAGTCCCAGTAATTCTGTATTATTACGTTTCTAAGAGGAGGAAATCCCATTGAGAAGAGAAGAGAGGCATTTATTCACGATTCACCTGCTGGCCTTATCTGCAATCGATTCGCTGAAATATACTTTGCATTCGAAGCGTATAACAAGATCAATATCCTCGGAACGGAAGTGAGTTTTCCACCAGCGCGATCGTGACTACAAATAAATTAGATCACTTACAACGAGCAGGAGCTGACACGATCGATTCTCGATTCCGATCCTGTTACATTTTCAGTTTACCTGATTGTAAAATTACCGCGTCATTAATATTTCACCGTGCCCTATGAAATTTGAGAACTACTCGATCAATTAAATTTCCTTGTTCCTAACCTAAATTGATCGTTCACATCTGGCTGAGAGTTCTTTCTCCAATACGATCAGTCAAACTTGATTTTTAGATAGAGAGATAATATTTACTGATTAACTACAATTTCATAAATAAATAAACTAGTAAACTAATAAATAAATTAATTATTTACTAACTTTTACTTATCAGTGACATTTTATTTTTATTTAATATTTAATACTTTTTAATTTGTTAATGACATATTCGGAAAATGATT